CCCAACTTCTTGTGCACCCCCAGCCTACTCGCTGGTGGGGTGGTGTGAGAATCAGAAGAGGCCTTGACTCTGTGTAAGCACTGCTCAGCAATAATTAAAACATCCCTGTGTTATCAACATTGTTCTCACCCTAAATCTAAAACACAGCACTATACCAGCTACTAGGAAAAAAATTAACTCTATCCCAGCCGCAACCAGGACATGTGTACTTAATGATTTCTTTTTAAGTATGCACTTTCTGCTCTTAGAATGGGTTTGAAGCCCTGCTAGAGTGTTTGCCTCAAAGTTGTTTTCAGATTTGCTGCTAATGGTAAGAAAACACTTAAAGAAGTTGTTGCTATGTGACTGTTTATGTGGTGTGGCATTACTATATTCCACATTTCATAGGAAATCAGGTCTGTATAGGTCAGTTTTGTTCTGAATAAGCCTCTGGCTTGCTGCAAACTCAGTACAAAATTTAGATTTTTTTTCTGTTTCAAATTGAATTGTTTCAAGCGTTTACAGATGCAGAATGCAAGCATTTACAGAACAGAAACACCGTGTTCTGCTGCAATTTAAGCTCTAGTTTGGGGTTAAGAGTTTATCAGAGACCAACGTGGACAATGTGTGCAAGGGTTTGGGTATTTGTACACTAGTTTTTCTTTCTCTGTTATCATTTCCTAACCATGTCAATGACTCCTCCATTTTTTCTCCCTTGCCTACCTTTCTCTGGGAGGTTAGCTTTTATAAAGAATCAGTTCCATTCAACACGTGGCATTAGGCTGTGTTAGCATGTACCCGATTTCAAAAAACTTCACTTCAATTTTTATTTCCATACAAAGAACAATTCTGTATGGGTATTTTAAAAAAAATTTTTTTACCCCAACCGTGTGTGGCTGTTTATTTTGACTGAGTCCACGTTCCCCCCCTCAGCTTCAATTGAATGCTGTACTGTAATAACACCTGATCTTAAAGTAAATAAGTATTTAAGGTTACTGTAGTATCATTGAGCCTTAAATATATTCAAGGTGCTTGGATGTGATAACTCATATTTGATATTTTGGGGGTTTTTTTATTCGTCTTCTCCCCTCTTAAATTCTCCCCTCTTAAAATTTGTTGAATTGCCTCTTATATAGATGTCTTGATAACTAGTTGGTGTTTTGGCTGATTCAGTAGCTACGCTGGTGAGAGGGGAAGGGGAAAAAAAAAAAGGCCAGAAGTGAGATGAGGAGACATGATTGCTCCTTGGAGCGTGATTACGCCAGTTTGCCACAGTCGAGCTGTAAACATCTCCAGTGGTCGGCTGCTGCCGCTGCTCCTCTGGGAAAAATCTGTGCGTATTTTTGTTTCTCAGTACAGCTGTATAGTCTAACAGGGAATGCTCTGGAGAGAACATTATTGAAACTTTTTTCTTTTTTTTTTAAATGCAGACATGCCAGGAAGTGAAATTCCCCTAAACTTTAATTGTTTTTATTTTTCATTTGAAGTTTTTTTGTGCTTGAGTGTATAACTTTTCATTGCCTATGGTAACATCAAACTTTAAAATTCTGCTGTAGCAACATTAGAATATTTTCCAGGAAAATACTGAGTCTTGTAGACATATTGTATGTTCTTACTTTACAGATCTTCCTTATATTATCAATTCTTAATTTTCCTTTGCCCTGTCAGACTGTGCATCTAGAGTTCAACACTGTATTTCTTACAGATTGTCTACTTTTGGGGACTTTGTAGTAACTTGTGGTTTGTTGTGAGCTATTTCTGGGTTAGCAGAATCTGTTGAACTTAAGAATATTCTTGCTTTCTACACTTCATACCAGTTTTTTCTGGTACAAATTGCAGGAAAAAGGGGGCCCAATTTTTATTCTGTTGTAGAGATGCTTATTCTTAGAGCAGCAGTGTTGCTATCCTCGTGGTTAACTTGACATTTCATCAAAATCAAAAATAAATCTGCCAAGATTCTGTCCTAAAAAATCTCTCCAGAGTAGACTCAACTCAAGGATGTCAGCTAAGCTCTGAATAACTTTCTAAAATAGAACGTCGTGATTGGAGATAAGGATTTTTTTTCAAGGTTGTGAAATGAACTATCAGAGGCCTCTGAAGTATGTATGTGCATTTCTTTCTAGGACTTACGTATAGTCTGCATATGGATGTGATTTTTCTTAGACTGACCTGAAGAAACTAAGTCTCCTGAACCACTTGTTTCTGTTTTTTGAGATGTAAAAGGTTGGAAGCACTTGACAGCAAATGCCACCTAATGTAATAACACTGCTTAAATGGAAAAAGTGACTGAGCCCAATTCTTTTAGGATCTCCACTTAATGTGGGTGGAAAAAAATGGTGAAATATTGAGAAGTTCACATCCTCCAAACTTCCCAGGAAGTCTAACGATGACATTGGATTAAATTAAATTCATTTGGGCAATGTGGAGACACTCAGTCTTTGTTTAAAAGTAGTCAACTAGAATATGTTATGGTGGAAGCAATTTCTGTACTTTGAAGGTGCTGTTGCAAAATCCAGAATGACTTCTGAATTGATTAAGTGGAAATTCAGGTGACAGTAATCAAATGAGCATTTCGGTAAGTAGAAGGGAGGAAAAAGCCACTTTTGAGCAACACTGGCAAACTTCCTGAATGGGTTCCTCAAATAAAGGAATCCCACTCCCCCACCCCCACCCCCCCCAAGAAAGAGCTAGCTGCTCTTTTTCTTTAAGGGTAACAGGCTTCTCAAGTTATTGGTAACATACTTGATGAGCTTGAAGCTTCCTTTCCGTAGCTGTGTAGCAAGCTTTTAAATAGTTTTTTCTTATGGATAGTGGGATCTTTGCTAACAATTCTGGTCTCCTCACGTGTATAGGAATAATAGGCCCTTTAGGAAGGGCCTGAAAATTCTCATTTGAGCTGTCTCTGCTGGAGTTAGGGGCAGAAACTGTTGTAGAAGTGCCAGTGGAAGAGGAGGAGGAGAGAGAACGAAGGCGGGTGCTTTTGTATGGTTCATAGATACTATTGCATGGCTTGAATTCATTAATTCCTGTAACCTTGAGCTGTTTCGTCAAGACTGACGTTTGTCTAGCTAAAATGAAAATGAACAGCCCCATGAGATCTGCACTGCTGCTTCCATTAGACACAGGGCGCCTCCTTGTTTGATGTATATGTAAATTCTTCCTGAAATTGCTGCCTATTGTAACTAACTGCCTGCAGTGACTTACTGCTGCTGACCAGAGTGGTAAGAGTCCTAGTTGAATGAAGATGGAGATTGGAAAAGCCTCTCTTCATCTTTAACCCCCGAATGAGAAGTGGAGCAGTGTGTGTGGTGTAGGATTTCAAATGGTCTTGCTGCTCCCTTTTATTTTTACATCATTGTTTGGAATAGTGAACGTTGGTATTAAAATCCACTAGAAGGCAAAAAGTCAACTGTGATCCATGTCTTTGCAAAGAAAAAAAGAGATCTGCTTGCTGTGTAAGGGAGCCTAATAGATCCCACCCATGTGAGTTGCCCTGGAAGCAGGCTAAATATATACAGTGTCAGCCACCTAGGAACTTTGAGTGGCGCCCATATTTACTTAAATATTTAATCTGGTTTATTAAATTTCACTGCTTGCTTTCCTTATCCATTTGAAAAAAAACAGGTTTTCCTCCAAAACTCTTGACACATACTTGTTTTGGTCTTTTTTTTGAAGAGGAACAGTTTATGTGATAGCACTGTTTCCTTCATATTAATCCAAATGTTTTGCAAGATGATATGATTTGGAATAAATTCAGATCTTGGAGAAACTCTTGGCTTGTCCAATATTTAATGAAACTATCACCTATTTCTGTTAGCAGAAACCCTGCTTCTTTGTGGCTTGGATAACTCTTGAGAGTGATCTAAAAGGATGTTTTTATGCCCTAAGTAGATACTTTTTTTTTGTTTGTTTTGGTATGTGTGTTATGTGAATTAGGTGCTGTCCATACATTTGTGTTTTCTATAAGCTGAGTTTGTGGAAGGAAAATGATAGTGCATCTTCAATAATGTCTTGCTGACAGAGGATCAGATGGTGTTAATGCTGAGGCTGTTAAGTTGGGGAGTAATAGTCTGTTTGTTTGACTTGGAATGAAATACAGCAGTTTCGTAACCACGATAGAAAATTATAAGCAGAAAGTGGCAATGAAATCCGAGTCAAGTGCTTTGCTTGGGAAGATTGACAGCACTTAAACCCTTTTTATACAATAGCTTGTTTTTATACTAAGTGTCTCTCCATTTCATGCTTCTGTTGCTAGGAAGTCCATTGTATTTGTCACAATGTTTTTAAATGTGAAAGAATATTTTTAAATAATTCAGTTCTGGGCTACAGAAATATGCTAATTCTCTTTATTGGAGCCATAAAACAGAACTTTAGGTAATTTTCTAATGTTACTCACTCTAAATATGCTCTGGAGTTCATCCAGACCTGTCTTGGCCAGTTTATTCTCCTGGGGTTCTTTTTGCACGTATGGGGTTTTTTGTTTGTTTCTCTTCCTTTGCTGAGCGTGAATCAAGAGTTTGTCTCATTAAAGAAGGCCATCGATGTGGTTCTCTCATGTTTTTGCCAGGAGAGGTTCTGCTGAGTGATGTCTTTGAAAACTGGATAGCTGCTGACTTTTGCAGTTGAACACTAGTTTTAATAAGTGGAATTTCTCTGGTATGGTCACTTCTCCAAAGTGCTTTAAAGCATAAGGCTAAAGCAGGGAGGATAACATAAATACTTTACTGTATGGAAATAATGGAAATTAGACCTGATTTAAGCAAGAAACTTGCGTTTTCTTTACTTGGAGGTCTGTGCGTACAATGTTATCAAGTTAATGAGTACATATGTATGTATTGATGCTAATGGTTTTAACAGAAACAATGTCGCACTTTTATAGACTCTATATACCCTGTGTAGTTACACACACATAGTTACTGGTGAAATAGTTTGTAATCACTCACCTTTGTGTAGGTTGGTTGACTAATGCATGTATCAAATCTTTCTTTTTCAGATCTGCCTTGAGTGAAGCTTGACAAAAAATGTTACAGCGATTTTGTCTCTGGAAATGGTTAGCTGTAGGGATTGCAATTGCTACTATCTTAGCAGGTTGTTTGGCCCAGAATGATGAAGGTAAGGTTTTTGCTGTGGGGGCGTAGCTGTGGGATGGGTGGGATGACTGTGTGATTTCATTTTAATTTTTTCCGCCCTGGAGTTATTACTTGAAAAAGTAGTTTGATACTTGGTAGGAAAGAGAGGTTACAATAAAGAAAGATCTGGGTATGTTTCATGATTTTACACATCTGCTAATGATTATGCTTTACAAAGCTGTTGATTTACCAGGCAAGATAAAATCTTATTATGATTATTCAGTACTGGACTCTAACATTTGTTTCCTCTTATTCATTGAACAAATACTTTACCTTGCTTTATTTGTAAATTGACAGTTGCAGCACTCGGAACAGGAGTTTGAGAGAGAATTGTTAATGGGCTGTATACATATCTGACTAAAAACTTGAGAAAAGATCCACAATGAGGGTCTTCTAGAGAAACAGTACTTCAGAAATCCTGAAACATGGCACCAATAGCTCATGTTCATCCTTAGAGCATCTTTGTTGAATTTAATTAAGAAATACCAGAAATGTGTTCTGCCAGTTATCTATAGTAATAAAAAAATTACAGACCTAAATAACTGATTATGATTTATTCTTTTGAACAATTTAAAAAAGTTGAAGAGCTGAGTTTGACAGACTTGTTTTTAAATACTCTTAAGAATAATGAGGGGGGTAAGTAAAAACTGAGTAGGGTTTCAGAATGTCTGTAATGAAGTTGCTCATTATAAGTGGCACTTATGCCTTCCATGTAAGTAAGCTGTAGTAGTACATATTTATGACTTATTCTTGCAGCTGGATTTTATTTTAGAAAACTCTATTTTGGCAGTTATGAAGTACAGTGGTTTTGCTTTTGTGAGAAATATTCAATCCTACTTGAATTTTGCTTAGTTTTTTTGTTATCGAGTAGAAAATGTATTTTTCTTGCTCTATTAATTATTCTTCAAATGTCCTTTTATTCCCTTCTGTCCCCCAGCCCAACCCTACATTGTATTTGATGTCCATAATATACAAGAAAGCTAATTTCATTTTATCCATTTTTATACACTGTCATTGTAGCTGTCATTCTCGACTCTGAAGTGTATAAGCTACTCATATTTCAGATATTTGATCTATGCTTGGATACAATTAGCTTGCTTTTTGATCATTTGTTATAGTGGAGGAGTGGGGCCATTATGCTTCGCAACATTGGACTTGGTGATGGTTGTCAAGTGCTCTTTGAGCAGCAAAATGCTAGATTTGAGGGAGGAGAGGCTGCACGGCAGCAGGATGTCCCCTGGCATGTTCAGCAGCATGGGAGGAAGTGGATGCTGGAGAGCATTGGGAATAAGTTGAAGGGAGGGGAGGGAAGCAGGATGATAGGACTGCACTGGGCTATATCCGTTCTGGGGTCATCAAAAAAGAGCATTCATGGTAGGCTGAAAATATAATGCAATACTTTTTACTGTGATCTTGTTTGTACTCATACAGGCAGCATCACAACATTCATCCGAAAAGACATCTTTGATCAAAATAACATTGTGAATTTCAGTTGAATACCAATTTCTAATTACACTTGAAAGATGCTGAAGTGTGCAAAGCACATGGCATAGATGCCCCAGAAAGTACAGTAGTAGACAGTTTGATGTTTCAAAATAGGAAAATAAATGCCTCAGGTTTCAATTTTTGTTCCTTTCTACTTCATATATGACAAACTTCCATGTTCATTAATGTCCCTATCTCAAAATGTATGCAGATCGCACCTTTTTGTTACAGGTGATTTAGAGGAAGGGAAAGATACTTGTCCACAGTTATTTATAAAGCTATCATTCAGTAATGATAATGTGACTGAAAACGTATAGCAACTTCCTTACTTAAAAAGGCTGTAAACATGTAGTTGCAGTTAGTGATCTGTTGTTCATGTAACTTTGTTGCCTGATGGGGTCATATGGTAGGAGAGAATCTGTGCAACTTCTTCACTCTGTGTCAGGATACTTTGAGCAGGTGAAAATTGCATCACTGACAGCAATGGCAGCAGAAACTCAGCTGATTAGATTTCTTTTTGGTTTTTAAATTGCCTTGCACCAGTTTGACTTTTTATTTGCTTCTTATATTGAAAGCTTGCAATAATTCTATGAAAACTTGCCAATAAAACTTTCACTTGTGTCATTAGGAAACTGAGACCTGAAAATACAAAATATTTTAAAGTCAGGTCTAAATCTTGTGGATGACTTAGCAATATATCTACTCCAAATATCCGCAACTTTGGAGACAGTTTTCAGAAGTATTGGGGTTTTACACACTTTCTTTTAGTGCGTTAACTTAGATTCTTGAAATTTCATGTTTTCTGTCTAATCCAGTGTTTCAGATGAGTTTACGATCATCCCTGCTAGTGTGGCCACATCATGATATTCCTCCTGTTTGGTTTTTTTTGTGGTGGAGGGTGGTGGCGTGTTGTTGTTTTTTTTTTTTTTTTGTCCTGGCTCATGCCATTTTTTTAGCCCAGAACCCAAAATTGTTTTTATGCTTAATGATTATGTTCTGTTATATAGCCTGAACAGAGAGGGCTTTGCTTTTCAATGAATATAAATTTCATGCATATAGCCAAGAGTATTGGTACTTTACTGGGGAAAATGTTCAGAAATGCTGTTGCTTGAGGAACATGCAGCGCCCTGATACAAACTCGAGAATGAACTGATTTTTTCCCTTCATGTTCAGGAAAGGGTAAATTTAACGAAAAGTATTTCTAATATCTTAAAGGTACTTCATATAAATACCATAATGCTATAATAGTGGAAAAACTATATGGAAATTAATTTAAGCCAGGGTGGGGTATTGGTTACTCAACAAATGCCACGCAGCTAATGAGGCAATGCTGATAAAAACAATTACTTAGAAATATATTTCTTGCAGTTAAATAGAAAACTATGTTCTGTACTTAACATCATTGCAGAGAAGTACTTTGGCATGTCTGGGATTGGTGGAGTTGCTCTAATTTGCAATAACAAAACTTGTAATCTAACATATACCATATAAAAGATGCACTCTTCTAGCGATTGCAATTTAAAAACACTGTAGTTATTTTAACAGCAGAACAATCATGAATACAAACAGAAAAAATCAATTATGGCAGAAATTATAACCTATTTCTTTGCATCTAGCATGCAAATGATCTGTTTTCATGGTTGTAGCTGTGCATATTTAGTTTAGTTGCATGCCTCTATTGCTGCATTTTGCTCCATTAGTTCGTATTTTTTGTATTTCAGATGTTTTTGCTCCACCTCCTGAGTCATCAAATCTTCCCCAGCCACAGCAATTAATGATGTTACAAAGTAGCCTTAAAAACTTTATCAAGGACTGCCTTGGAAATGGTTAGGCTGCTTTCTTCCTATACTTACTAGAAAGCTTCCCCAGAATCTCATTTGTTCATTTGGCTCAATGCCATTGTCTCATAGAAATGAGGCAATTTATTCATGGCTAGCTGATAGCGCCTGCATAATCTTTCAGTTCGGGTAATGCGTTTCCTTCACTGGTGTTTGTGCTCTCCAGCCAAAGGAACATTTAGAGAGCAATAATTCCCCCTTTTGTTTTTCCTCACTAAACTAAACAAACACGTTTCTGTAGGCTGCCCTTGCAAAGTACGTTCTCCTTCCCCTCGTGATCCCGGTAGTCCTGCTATGTCCCTCTTTCAGCTAAATTCTTCTCTTGAATGTGGTTGCTGGCATTTGTATTTTGTGTCCAGGTGACATACTGACAGTTCTTTACGATGCCAGCTGTGCTTTGCTGTCTCTATTGGAGTTATTTCACTCAGTAAAGTTATTTCATGCATTGGTGGCTGGTGGTTGTGCTGTAATGTAATACAGCTCTGTCTTTTTCTATCATCATCCGTAACTGATAAGTGTGGGCCTTTAGGGATTTTTTTCATAGCAATGTTTTTGTCAGTGGTGTCTAAGTGACATGCAAAGCGATCTCAAATTTGTGCTCAAGTTTTGATTCCATTTGTGCCGCTAATAAATTTGTGTCCTGCACTTCTTGTTCCAAGTTTTCAGTGAGCTGAAATTTCAGTCATACATTACTACTCATTTGTAGAGAACTCTATCACCTTTCAGGACAAAGTATCCATCTGAACTAAGTCTCCTTGTCATCCCATTTTAGCCAGCTGTCTTCAGGTGGTACTTAAAATTTTCATACTAATCCATCCTTTCCAGCTTAATCATTTCCTGTGGGGAGTATGTAAAATCTATTGATGAAATGCAAATACTTCACATCTACTGTAGTCCCTTAAAAAAACACCCCTCCCCCAAATTATTAAAAAAACAATTCTTTTGTTAGAGAGTTACCACATTAGTCTCAATGTACTGTCAGTGAACCCATTCAGTGTTTTCTTCCAATGATTTCTTTGTATTATTGTTTTGCTCAGTCATATGGTATGCTAGAATAAATTTAAGATGGTGGGTGGATGGGTAAATGTGGTTTTTGTGTTGTGTTTTTTTGTTTGTTTGTTGTTTTTTTTTTTAAAGAAGGAAATCTGGTTTTACCATTTCTGCTGCCCCTATTTGGCTCTTTTCCAAGCAGGAGAAATGCTGCAAAGATTTTTTTTTTTTTTTTAAGTAATATTTTACTTAAGTAGAAGTAGAAATGTCAGTTATAGCCTTGTAATATGTGAAATTAGGTCAGCTACAATCTCTTATTTTTACAGTGCTACTCTTAAATTCAGAGGCAAACTTGCAAGCTATAAAAGAAGCAGTGAGGAGGAAGGTGGAAACCCAGGATCCAATTTCTTTCTTTTTTTTTTTTTTAACCAATATGTATGACTAGAAGAAACACTCTAGCAGCAGTCTTTTGGTCAGGAGAGAAGGCTGCTAAATTTAAAAGCTGTCTGTGTGCACTTTCATGCCACACGAAACCGATCCAGCAAAAATGATCATTTGACATTTAACAGATTTAATAGTCTTCAGCATTTAGACTTAGTATATACCCATTGTGAAGGATATAGCTGTGAACTTGGGGGTATCAGTAATTTATTCTTCACTCTTAAAAGAT